AGATTATGTTTCCGTTCAATTTATTGTGCTGAAATCGCCCTCGGAGTTAATTTTCACAAAATCTGTTATTCTGTGTACATTTCTGCCCGCCCAAAAATTGTTATGCTGCTCAAAATGGAAAAAGAAAAACTGAACTGCAGTGCAGAGGTTTGAAAATAATTCACCTCCAATGGTTTTCGTATTGAAATTAGAAATGATAGAGAAAAAAAAATACACCACAAGCAGAAAATGAAACATTTGATTCTGTCTGTATGAGAATCACAATTATCGGTCTGTAGTGGCTCCACACTGTCACTGAACTGACTGACTCCATTGCTTTAACAGACCTATAAAGCCATTTATTATCTTTTGGAAGCTCGTTTTACACTCTGCTAAGTTGGTAAAGTGCAGTCTTTGACACCACAACCTAAACAAGTGAATAAATTCTGCTCAACTTCTTAACCTGGAGGGTTTGTGGTGCGTTACATAGGCTTTTGTTGTCCGGGTGTGTACAACAATCTGTGGTTGTACACATCAGAAAACAGCAGAGAAAGAATTAAAAGCTGGTGAGAGAGGAAAAAATGGGTGAACCCCCCCCAAAAAAACCACCTGCGACCTGTGCTTCACAAAGTGTTGAACTTCCTGAAGTGTTCCGGGTGCTGATATCTCCACTAATTCATCATTTAAATGACAAAGAGCCAAGGAGGGGAATTCATGCAGGGTCGAAAGACAGGAAGAGGGAAACGGTGTTACTGAAGTAATTTCCTCAGCTTAACAGGATCATTTACCACCGTGACCTTACAACAGTGAATCCGCAGTCCAGAAGACGCCACTTCCTCTGGAAGCCGTGTGAGGAAGGCCCAAAAGTCCCGTGTGCTGCTGCACACACAGGCTCACGGCCTGAGAAGCTCCATCCAGCTCCACAACTGACTGACTGATGGGATGATTGAGGTCTTTGACAGGAGCGAACCACAGACAGCCATAAATTATTTCACAAACTCTTGTTCCATTTAGAATTCCTGTGATGTGTTGACCTGCACTCAGAGACAGATTCGACAGGTTAATACATTTTCCCCCCGCAGCAAAGCACACTGGAGCTGAACAGAACAAGCTTCAGGTGGCAGAGATATACATTTTCTCTGCTTTTTTGTGTGCAAGAAAGGTATGAGGAGATTATTAAAAAACAGGTATAGTAACCTAGTTTTTTTGTAACCCTAAATCAAACCTAAGTTCCTTTGCTAAAGTAATAACGCATGGATAAAATAAAAATGGATAAAAGCAGAAATGTAAATAAAATACTGAACACTTACATATGTTTGATCTGTTTCAGTTTCAGGGTTTTGATATTTTTGCCTGCTGTTATAAACCCTAAAATATTTCCACATTCAGAATGGACTATTGTTCATTATAGAACTATTTATCATAGTATACATTGTGGAAGTATATGCAAGAAAACTATATGAAATGCGGTGCATCTGAGAACTTTTGCATCGTTTAATGGTAAAAACTTTGCTCAAAACCCTGTTGCTCACAATCAAATATACCTGATAACAGCAGGCAGAAGACTATGAGAATTATTGAATGGTAATAAATTATAATTATTTATTTATTTATGTGTTAAAGGGCCAAATAAAATAAAAGTAAAATTCTCTCTATTTTTTCTTGGACCAAGCTTTAAAGGGTTAACTTATGAAGCTTTTCCAGAGCCGGTTGCTGTTGCAAAAACTGAATTCTCTTAATAACAATTATGAGTATAAAAAAGCCTGCAGCCTGTCAGCTGAAATGAGACATCATTTAACCACTTGTGTCTCAGTGGGTGTATTATGAAAGAAGGAATGAAAAGGACAAACAACAGGCGTCTTTTGTGTGAATGATGTTCACTATCACACACATGATTGAGAGGGTTTACCTTTGTCCATATGCTGTTTTTATTTGGAAGGCTCTGGTTTATAAGGATTTCACAGCTTCATTTATGTAAACCACATTAATATGTGGCAACGTTAGGACTGAAACATTTAAATATCTCATCTGTGCATAATCAGTAAAGCGAAATCCCACAGGGGTGTTTTTGTTATGTTGGTTTTTGAATAAACTTTTCTATAAACAAACGTTCTTCCCAGCTGTGCAGGAATGACAATCATATTCATTACTGTATCTGAACATATGGCCGGCAAACTGCCTGGCTGTGGTGTGCATCATTAATCAGGGGGATCCAGGAGGATCCAGACCTCCTATCAGCTTCCCCTGATTATCGGTGGCATCTTCCGAAATCCAGAGTTCAGGTTTCTCGCATCATTAAAATGTGTTATTTGTGTCTTTACTGAAAGTCACAGATAAGTTTAGACAAAGGAATAAATGCATTTAAGGTGACCATTAACGTAATGAGTCTCTATCCCCCGCTTCGTAAATTGAACAACAAACTGAAAATAGAAACAAGAGACATCAGTATAACCAGAAAGCCTGAAGATTTTTTGATTAGTCGGTCCTTCAGGGATTTTGATAGTGACAGTGCCTCATTTTGCAGATGGTGAGATATAATTTTGGTCCGTGTAGAAAGATTGCCGGCGACTGTCTATCTGTGTTTATGGCTCTGGGGCAATAACATCACTGCTGTGGCAGTATCAAAAACCAAAGGCAGAGAGCTTTTCAACCTGGTCTGATAAAGGAAACAGGACGAGGAGGCGTAATTCAACAGCTAATGAGTCACATTTTCCCTTTCATCTCAAAGATGCCTTTGTGTTCTGCTGGTGAAAATGTGCTTAAACATTTGTTGCTCGGAATGAACCTCTTTTCCATTATTACCATGCTACACATAAAAAAGAATAACATTAAAACAACCAGAAAGGCAGCTAAACTCTCCAGGGGAATGAAAATGAAAAAATCTTCAGGACAAAGAGAAGAGACTAAAAATAATTTGTCACCGAAAATATATTTTTTAAATGATTGGAAAAAAAAGATGTTTATAATGTGGTCACGCCTGAAAAGTCTCCCCCCCCTGTCCCTAATAACACATGCAAATCAAATCAGCTGCAGGGAGTCAGTACAAAGAAGTAGGTAATGCCTGCTCTTAACATTCATTCATCATGAATTATTGATCCAATGGCAGGTTGTTAATTGATTTCCTATTCAGGCCAATCTAAACGTTGCATAATATATAAATGTGGGTCAAGCGAGAAAGGGTATTGATAATCAGACCGAAGACAATACGCCCATCTTGACCCTTGCCCCCTGACCTCTTTCAATAATTAATGACCCCAAAAACCACCACTGGGCTCATTGTCTTTGTGTGGATCGATGTAGAACCCTGAGTTTTAGGACAAAGACATTTAACAACAAAGACCATCTAACATTATTTCTTTACTTTTAAGCCTTGAAATACAGTGTTTAAAAAAAGCGAAACTGCAAAATGAACACAAAGATGAGACTGCAGTTTTGAATGAACATATAACAAATTCTTTATGCAATCAATATTTCTTTGACTGTGGTTCTGCCCTCGTTTCCCCCAGGACCCACAATCAATGTTCCAGATTGAGCACTATCAACAATGACTCTGTATCAATTAAAGTTAGGACTAGAGGTTACGGTTCAATGGTTAAATCCTCAGTGGCATGCCAAACCCAAAACCCAACAAATAAGCTAACAACACTCAGCCTACACAGTTGCAGCAACAATACAATTAACACAAAACTGTTCAATTATTTTCATGCTGTGAGGGAATTTCCGATTAGGGACAATGCAAACCGAGGCTAAACCGCTTTTTTAACACATCATTTCCTCGTGATCTACAGTAGCTTGAGTTTGACAAACAAAACGAGCCGTGAGAGACATACAAAAAGACATCAGTCCGCATTAGCAATTTGGACAATACCATAGCAAAACACAGCATCGGCCAGTTTTACGGCTTACATTTCCTCATTAGAGCTCAGTAAAATTCAGAGGGTCACAATACAAGATAATGGAGGTCACCTTCTGAGAAAACTGGCACAAAGTACGTGTTTTAGACACCCTAAAATAATAACTTAAGGATGTATTTAAATGTTTTTTAGCAATTAAAACTGTAGGTAGATTTAGCCACACAGAGCATTGCAAGTGACATTAGAATAATTTATAGTCTAGAGGTCTCCGTGACTGACACTAATTAAAATGGTTGGATCTGAACTAATTAGGTTAAGTTCCTATCTGTGTAGCATCTCTGGTCTTATATTTATTGCATGACTAACCTTGTACACCTCAGAATGCTCTAATGAAGGCTCTGTGCATGAATGCATGAATGTGCCTTCCAAACAATGTGAACATTATAAATACGAGACAGAATTTTTTTCCTTTGCATTTTAGTCGATAACATTAAAACTAATAGTATTGATGTATGTATAAGCCCAGCCGAACTTTTCTTCCACATCTGCCTTTTCATTCCAGTGTTCTCATGTCTCTCCTCATTCGCGGAGGCATGTTCTGCCACCCGGCTGTAATCAGCCACTCCACTCCTCGCCGAGCTCGCAGCTCCGCTGTGGCCGGTGTGTCGTTGTGTGTCTGTGTCACACAAGTGTGCGTACCCCGTGCGCGCTCTTACTCGCACACCCAAATCACTGCACCGTCATTTTTCTGACAGCCACACTCTCCCATCACACAGCTGAGTGGAAAGATGAGCTCCCTGCTGCTCGCGGGCCAGAGGGCGAACACACACGCACACACACTCACACACACACACACACACACACACACTACCACAGAAATAATCGCACACACACACACCTTTAACAGCCTCTGGCACAAACGCCTGACTCCCGGCATATGGATATTCCCTTTTCACTTTCAATCAGGGAGCTTGAACCAAAAACTGGTGAACCTGCCAGCAAAGTGGTGAAATTGGACCCACAGTGCAGAACACAGACAGAAACAAATCCCCACAGAGAGAGAGGCCGACGTTTTCCTCATGAATTCACCGCACAATGGAGTACATATGCCTGTCTCCTTTACCCTTACGCTCCGGTGACACGGCGTGTGTGTACAGCTGCTGACCTACAAGGTATCAGCGATCGGACCCGACCTGGCGGGGACTCACCGATCTCGCAGCTCTCTCCAGAGAAGCCCTGAGGACAGTAGCAGCTATAGCCGTCACCTTCCTGCAGGCAGCTGCCGCCGTGGAGACAGGGGTTGGTCTGGCAGGGGTTGTTGTCCGCTGTGAAGAGAGAGAGAATTGGGAATAAGATTAAAGTCAATGTAGATTATGTTTCTGCAGAAAAAAATAATAAAACGGTTTGGAGGGGAAAATGAAAACCAGCCAAGTGTCTACAACAGGCATGGAGCCAGCAACACTTCCTGCCATTATCCTAACAGCACCCGGATCTGCAACAGCTACGAAGGGACAACTGAGCTGACCCCCCCTCCTGTTTTCCCTCACCCCGGAGAGAAGTGTGACTGATGATTCAAGGTTCGCAGAAATGAGCTGATCAACACCCAGTCATCCATTCTGCTCCAGGAAAACGATTCTTTGCACAGTAACACTTTGCAGCGACAGTTTTAAAAAAAAAGGGAAAAAAAGACATTTTATGTGGCTAGACTGTAACAGTGTCTCTTCATGGAAAATGTTTAGGCGGACGAACGGGGGAGAGTCAAAAGATAAAGCCATAATTACCGGTCTTAAATTTTAAGAACGGACTGAGGGGGAAGGAGACTTTGACAAGGACGGTTAGGGCAGAGAGTGATTATCAGGATTTTTTATTCTGTGTAAAGCAGGACTGTTGGGAACTGGTTAGATTAAGTGTCTTTTTATTATCCAATCCTGATAGGATTGCAGGCCCTGACACAATCTGTCAGGCCATCTAATACACTGCATCTTCTCCATAATAACACCCAGACTCACTTAATGATGTATGAGCAGAGATGCTGTGCTGAACATAAAGTGCACTTCCCCTGAAAGTCCGGGGGTGTCGTCACTTATGTGGGACCGAGTTTGTTTATGCATGCGTACGCGTACAAGCATATGTGCGAGCGTTTCCGAACGCTTGTGTGAGTCATTGCACGCCAGTTCGAGATAATGTGGGTATGTTTTCAATTTCCTGTGAAAGAGAGGGCGATAGACTACCAATGCTGCAGAGAGAGACTGCACTCCTATGTTGTGCTGGGGAGATTCTGAAAAGCCTCCTTTGAAAATACATAAAAGTGTTTCTCAGAATGAGAAAAACCATTAGAGACAGGATCATTTCTTAATTCAGAAGCAGGGAGTAAAAACTAACATGGTACGTGCTTTGAAAACATACATCGCTTAAAGGTTAATGATGTGCTGGGTGATGTGATGTGATGGAGATAGGAGGAAGTAAATGGAGAAAATAGGAAAAAAAACACACGCAAGCACACACACCTAGAATATGGGGAATGTGAGAGCAAGGTTGGTTTAAAAAAATGGCAGGTAATGGAATGGAGGATATGAAGGGAGGAAGTGAAATAAAGAAGAGGAAGCTACCATCCATGCATACATACATCACAGGTTAAAGCAAACTGTCACAGGACTGACTTGACTATCCTGATTAATAACCGTGAAGATCTACACTTTCATTTCTATGAGTCACTTCACACTTCAATCATCATCCGAGCCAAAAACACAGACAGAGAAATTTGTTTCCAGGGCAAATCAAAGATGATATGCAAGCATTTAGGAATGGTTCCACTACATAATTCATCTGAGGCTGAAACATATTTATGGTCCCCACTGCATCTCCACTGTGAGAACCAAATAAAAAACAGTCCAACAGCTACAAAGATCCACATCAAAAATCCACATTTAATTTCTTCACTCATGACAGATTTTAAGTAATGATGTCAGAAAAAAGTAACTTTATCGAATTTTGCATTCTCTATAATCTATTTATAAGAGTCCAGAATTATTCTGTACATGTGTGGAAACCACTATATCGTCAATCCAATGCTAAGTACTGAGTGCATTTACTTAGTACATTATTGAATAGATAGCAGGTGAAAATCAATTAAACTGTTTTGCTCTTTTTTGGTCTTTTTTAAAAACAGCATATTTTAGCTGAGTCATATTGTACTGTACTCCTTTGGATCTCCCTCTGCTATGGACAGTATTTGACCTTAAGCTGACACTGGGTGTAATATGGTGTGACAAAAATGAGGCCAGAGAGAACAGCAGTGCATATTAATACCCTCTGTTTTCTGAAATCTGACATGAAAGCCTAATTTAGTCGATATGATGCAAATTTATTGTTGTCTGTAACAGGTGATGTGGGAATAAAACAAAAAAACTGGTGATCCTGTGAATAACTGCTGTGTGAGACAAAATCAGGTCAAAACAGCTGTGGCCAAAACTCTTGGTTAAGGATGGTTGGGGGGGCTCAGTATTGAGGATTGGACTCTGAAGAATCGACTGGCTCTCCTGGGCAGGAGGATGCTCACAAAACTCCTTTACATCGAGTATTACATCTCCCACTTGCCGCACATATTTCCTGTGAGAAGGCTCGACCGTGTAGTAATAAAAAGCAAACGCTCTTTTGAATGTTGCCGGCAGTCTTAACCTTTTCCATGTTCTAGCCACTTCTATTTCTGGTAAGTAGTTAAACTCAGAGTATCCACAATCTTCAACAGCACTTTGTAGAAAAAAAAAAAAAAATTCCAGCAAAGATTTAAAGCTACTCTGACTCTCAGTCTCATGTCTAAATCATAACCAGATATGAGGGAAAAATTAATCTGAAAATCTTTTAAAAAGAAAAAACAGCGCCTACAATTTCAGATCTCAGGGTTTTAGAACCGTTTTTAGATGTATAAGTGTGCTTTAAAAACTCGGTCCTCACAGATCCAAAGATAAAGCTGATGCATGAGCGTTTCCACTTGCAGCATCGTTAAAAAGTCTAACTGACGTTAAATCTCCCTGCAGAATGACAGATCTGATGCATTGCTCCAGCCAGTGTTGCAGCACACACCTGAGTACCAAAGCATCCAGCAGCTGAACGGAGGAATGCTCCAGGAGCTAAAAGGGTGAACTTCACCATGAATTCTCTTCCCTCTGACTAATAGAGTTGCTCCTGATGCTTGTAATCAGGATTGGGATCAGGAAAACATTTGGAGCTAATGCGTAGCAACTGTGTCCATCCATGTGTGACCCAGTATAGGTTTGTGCTAAGTTTTAAAGGGTACTCCTGTTGGCCTAATTTCCCCCATAAAAAACCCATTTCTCAACACAATGAAATCAGTTAGAGCAAAAATGTGTTAATAATGACTTAAAAGGGACTTTTCCTCAGCTACTCCCAACACTGATGAATGGTGGCTGTTCTTTCTTTGGTAAAGCAGAGAGCTGAGCTGCAGCAGAAGAGGACATCGATCCAATCTGCAGACAATTAGTAACGACTTATTACTCACAAATGAGACTGTGCTCTTGCCCATTTGTCCACAAAAGTGAGGACTCAATGGAGTAATCATAAGCACAGATTGTGTGACAACAGCAAAACGTCAGTCAAACAATTCCATGAATAAACATGGCGATCGTGACTGGATTAATGCTGAAACTTCAACATCAGGTCGGTTATTTCGGGGCTTTACTTTTGCAAACAAATGGACTAAATGCTTAATATGTTTGTGCAGAAAGAATAAGAGGAGTGTAAGAGGAAAAAAGGTGGGGAGAGACGGTTCAAATACTCCGGAAAGATGCAAGGAGAGGATTACGATTTAGAATGGAGGAAAAAAATGTCGTCTAGGGAGGGACAGAAAGTCACAGAGGAAGCTATCATACATTTCCTCCTCTCTTAATGCTGGCTGCTAGCTTATGATTAATTACACACTGGTCTTAAAATAGGTCGCTTCTTATATCCCTACTTTGTGTCTGTCTCTCAGAGAGAGAGAGAAATAGAGAAAGTCGCACTCCGGGTGTGGAGCAAAACCCTGGGTAGCGCTGAGACAGACTAACAGAGATTGGCAGGAACGGAGGAGGGGAGATGCTTCAAGCTTTGCAGGTTTTCAGATTCAGAGCTCAGGTCTGTCGTGTGACACAAGTTTATAAGGTGCTTACAAAATAGTTGACTTATCTTCTCTGACGCTGAGCAGACATTTGCTGTTCACAGCGGAATTTAACCAAAAAAAAAAACACCCTCTGCTGTGTGATGGCATGTTCAATGAGCTCATTTGAACCTGTTTTCAAGCCTGTCAGGACTGCGTCTTACATGGTGGCCTATTTTGGAAAGCAAACGCTCGGTTCGGATTCCCGTGCGCATCAAGGATTGAAAATGGACGGTTAAAGAGGATTGTACTGAGGGGAAATGACATGCCTCCTATAAACCAGGAATCAGGAGTGATTTGCAAATTCAACAGCGTGGAAGCCCCACAGAAAAAGGTTGTGCTGACGGAAACGCTGCACGACTAAATGTGCATCACACACCCCCGCGCAGCAAAAAGCACCCACTTTTGCGCTTACATTTACTGTACATACACCTGCTTATCACCCACCGCGTGGCTGTGCTCGGACCCGCTGAACCCTGTAATAGCTTTGCTGAGACAGAGATCATGCCTCAGCCTGTTCAAGTGTTCCCCCTCCACCGGCGTGATAAGCCATCACCTGAGCCCAGCAAGAGCTGCCCCCGTTAAAATTTAATGCTACACTACGTCGCGAAGAGGCACTGAAGCACACAGAATGCTGCGAGCCATATGAATGGCAGAAGCTAAACTTCAAAGTGCGCTCTTAAATGCAGCTGTTGTAATCATAGCGAGGGGCTCAATGAGGCCTCGGTGTAAAATATTCATGCTGTCACTTGCAGGACGGCTTCGGAAACAAGTGTTTTATGAGTTAAGAAGGATTAAATTATGCAGCAGTGAAAGCGGCTCCGCCGCTGCTAAACCACATTCACCCCAAAAAGTAATAATATCGCCAGATTTATGGGAAGTCAGGACGAAGCATCAAGCTTGTTAAGCAAAAGACGGGATGTGCGATGCGGTATAAAGAAAGATATAAAGGTAAATTCTGTTTCATGTTTTCAACATCAGCTTTTTTCTGCTCACAGAAGTCCGACTTTTCTGCTGTGGTAAACCAGAGTTGTCACTTTATGTCCAGGTGTCAAAAAAGTTCCCAGTAGACAATCGTGTATACTTTGGCTTCAAATCCTGACTGATATCGTTTTTATTGTCATTTGCATTTTGCTGCCTCTCGTCAAATCAAAAACCCCAAAGCTACTTTAT